TGGTCAGTAAGATCCTTCTGAATAGATCTTCTCCACCATGAACGGTCCCTCCCAAGTAGACTCAAATTGTTATGTGCAAGAATAGGCCTTTTGAGAAAAAGTATAAGGTCACCAACTTTGGACGTCCTTGAGCGGACCAGTTTGTCCTGGCCCTGAATCATCGTGACCTGGTAAAGTTCTAAATTTTGTTATGCTTGTAATCAATTTCCTTTGAGATTTTTCAATTTTTTAAGTTGGGGCTTAGCGTTGTCTTCTACTATAATGTGGTTGGTGATGGTGATCCTGAAAGATGGTAGTTGAACTTCGAAAGTTGAACTTCGAACTGAAGTACTGCCTTAGACTCGTACATAAGCGCATACAATGTATGTTTGGTATGAGTTCAGAGCATTGTCTTGTAGTTCCATACAGCTTCTAACAATTTTCATGCAAACTTCTCTTTTTCTCGTCCAATATTTTCCTTAAAAATTGTACGAGTGTCTTGTTGAAAGCTTTGACTAGGTCATTCACCCTGGAGTAGTAGATAATAAAGTATCTCCACTCTATCCCGTGTCATTTGAGAAAGTTGTTGATTTTGGTGCTCTTGAAGGTTGACCCATTATCTGAAATAACTATGTGTGGCTTATCGAAATTATAGACGATCTAATTTTTGAAGAACTAAAGAACTGGCTGCACTGTAACCTCTCGTAACGAAACTGCCTCTGTCCACTTGGAGAAGTAATTTGTGGCTGCGAGAATAAATCTGCATCCTTTCAAAGATAGAGGATCTAAAGAACCCACAATATCCATACCCCAACTCTCAAATGGCCATGATGCGACTGTTGAATGTAGCACATTCAAGGGTTGGTGCAAGACCACTCTATGCACTTGGCACTGGTGACATTTCTTACCAATGTCATTACAATATAACAACATTACTGGCGAGTAGTACCTGAGTCTCTTAATCTTCATCTTCATGTTTGGCCCTAACTGGTGAGCATCACATAATCCTGCATGTACTTCCTTGATGATATTCTGCGCTTTTGCTTTACTCAGACATTGCAGCCACATCTAATTGAACAAACTTCTTTAGAGGACATTGCCTACCAAAGCATATGAAAGAGCTCTTCTCGTAATGTGATATGTTGCTTACTTGTCATCTGGTAGCCTTCCTCTTTGCACATAATCTATTAATGGCTTGCACCAATATTCGGTATCAGACACTGCAACTACTATTTCCTTCATTTCAAGCTTGTACAGACTGTCAAGGTCAATCTGCGACTAAACTTGGCATCCCTGTACTATAATGTCAATGGAATTCTTTGATGGACACGTCAATTCCTTAGAAAGCTTGGCTAAAGCATCAACATGGGCGTTATCTCCCCGAGAAATCTTGTACAATGTTACACTAGGAATTTGTTCCAACAACATCATTGTATATTGATGATATTGTACTAATCTTGTCTTTAGAATCTTGTACTATCCGACAACTTGTTGAATTACAAGTTATGAATTACCGTATATGAAAATGTTTGTTATACCATTGATATTACCAACTTTAACCTGGTGATCAAGGCTACATACTCCACCTCATTGTTAGTACAAGGCTCTGTCAAGTGGTAAGAAAATCTCAACATTTCCTGATCTGGTGTGATGAAAATCAGACTAGTTCCTGCTTTGCCTGATAAAATTGTTTGTAACCCTTTATCATTTCTTGCCAATAAAGCTCAATTGAAATACATTTATCAATGCCTGACACTGGATAGTTCCACTTGTAGTTTATGTTTGTCGGACAAGTTGTCATTGAGAAGGGACCCAACTGGTAGTCGGTGCACTGCGAGGAAATCTACTAAAAGCTATCCTTTGATAGCTCGAAGGGTTACGAAAGTTATATCAAATTGTAATAAAATCATCAAACAACATGCTAAATATCCGTAAAGTGTTGGTCAAGTCATCAAATATTTCAATGGATTGACTTTCAAAATAATGGTGAACTTGTGAGAAAGCATGTAATCTCTAATCTTCTGGGTGGTGAAATCTAAAGCTAGAAAATACTTCACAATAGGAGGATACTTTCCCTTGTCATTATTAGACTTCGACTCAAGTAGTAGAGTGCATTTTTCTTACCATAGTCATTGACCTGAGCTAGCATAACTTTGAGAGTGTCGTCTAAGGCCACAATATAAAGTATCAAAGGTTTTCCCGAGATAGGGGCAGCCAAAACAGGAGGTGTCGTTAAGCACTTCTTAATATTCTCAAAAACCCATTGATATTTCTCTTTCCAAATAAATTTGGCGTTCTTTTTAATTATTGTCGAAAAAGGCTGACACCTACCTGACATGTTAGATATAAAGCATCTCAGGTAACCCAATTTACCTTGAAACGACCGTAACGGTTTCAAGGTTTTAAAAGGCGGCATTTCTAAGATAGCTTTAATTATGTCTGGGTTGATTTCAATTCCTCGATGACCAACAATGAATACTAAAAATTTCTTGGAGGTATTATCAAAGAGGCACTTTAAGGTATTCATCTTAAGATTAAATTATCGCAATCGTTTGAGCACAACCCTTGGGTCATCAACATAGCACTCCACTTAGTTATGGATGAGATCATCAAAGATTTTTGTCATAGCTCGTTGGTAAGTTGCTCTGGTGTTCTTCAAACCAAATGGCAAATGATTCTGATCAGTGTTCTGAAGGTTGTATATGTTGTGTCTTCTGTAGCCATCTTGATCTGATTGTATTCTGATGATCCATCTATGAAAGAGAAAATCTCGTGTGTCGACGCGATGTCCACCATCAATTCTGGTATCGGTAGTGGAAACTCATCCTTTAGATATGCTTAATTTAAGTCCCTGAAGTTGACACATACCTGAATTTTTTCATTCTTCTTCTTAACTGGCACAACGTTGGGTAACCATGTGGGCACTGTTCTTCTTACACAAAGTTAGCGTCTATTAATTTCTTCACCTCGGTAATGACTTGTTGTTCTATTTCATGATGTGTTCTTCGGGGAACATGTTTCACTGGGGTCATACTATTGTCCACTCCAAGCCTGTGAACTTCAACTTCCTAAGATAACCCTGTCTTTTCATCATAGCTCCAAGTGAAACAATCCTTGAATTCTGATAGTAACTTGATCAAATTAGTAGACTCTTCCTTGCTGAGCAAAAAACTTATGAAGCTCAGTCCCGAGATTAATTTGCTTTAGCTCGTCAACTGTTGACTTAATTTCTTCTTCTTACTCTATCGGAGCTTCATGTATTAGAGAATATTCAAAATCATCTTCCACATGGAGGACAAAATTCTCGTTAAAAATAAAATGTTGAAATCTTATTTTCTCTTCTTTCATTTGACCAATGCTCTATTTTTTAGGCGTGATCTACAGGACAATTTAGGTTTGAACATACCTTTTCCTTTAGCACAAAAGGCTATTAGAGAAATCTTGGGACAAAACTAGCAAACCTTCTAAACGATCCATATCAAGGCATGTCAAAGGATGCAAAGGCTAAATGTCGAAGAAAAAACCAAGATTTCTCACAACTTCTCTGAACCGATAAGCCCAAACCATTTGCCTCCCCTACTTTTCAAGATAGGGCATCGAAAAGGGAAAACTAAGCTATAAATAGATGATAGGAACAACAAAAGGTATTTACATAAATACCCATTTAAAAGCAATGAAATTTCCACCAAAGACAAAAATGACTTTAATATAATTTTTTTAATATAAATCATATATAAATAAAATGGGAGTTAATGGACAAGCAAGTTGTAGAAGATAATTATTGGCTATACCCTAATATGAATTTCATCTTTAACATTTGCAATTAGATTATAATAAAGGGTATTATGAAGGTGCTCTTGAATATATAGGAAAAGCCCTCCATAAAAGTACATAGATAATCATTGATATTAGAAGTTGAACTTTTTTCTATATAAATCCATGTAATTTTTAATCATAAGGCATCCTACATTCATAAGGAAAAATGTGTTGGAGAGAAGAGAAAGATAAAAGGGGAGAATAGGAGAGAAGGTGATGCATCATTACTGTTTTTCTGCACTGTTGGCCCACATTCTTGTAATAAGTGATAGTGTTCTACTTCAACCATACATGCATAAATGTTATCTTTACTTTTACTCATACGAAGTGTAATTTTGTTTTTTAGTAACCCTTTTAAATTGTAGTGGAATTTTTGATTTTTTATGCCGTTAAAAATGTAGATGAATCTCACAGAACAATATGAATTCGTTGTGGAATATTTTTTGTTCAAAGTTTTATTATTATACTAGTTAAACTATCTAACAAATGATTTCACATATTCTTAAGCCATCACACAAGAATTTTAAAAATACAATCTCATCATAAAATTCTTGTGTCAAATTGAATTAGTGCGCTTCTTTGAGCGAATTCCTGTGTGAAGATGAAATCAGATGTTCATAATATCTGCATGGTTCTCTGCTTTCAGTTGTCCCCTCTGCAATCTCTCTAAATTCAACTAAACTATCGGTTCATCTATTAAGTATGAAGCTGTTATAGTAGCATAAATAGACTGAGCTATATTTTATCAAAAATAAGAAAATCTACTGGGTAGTTATTACTTGTAATGTTACATAATGAAAATAAATTTTTTATTATATTGTTTCCTTTTTTTCCTAATGATTTCTACTTTTGTTCTAAAGACTGAAGATGAAAATGAAATATCAACAGCTAAGAGGTAATGTCATGAAAGTAAATTACATCATGAAAATAACTCAAATCGCCCAAGAATAGTTAACACACCCATGAATCACATCTCCATTTGTTATTCTATATAAAAAATCTCAATCGTGTCACTCGTTGCCAAAAATCCATTTATAAATACTATTATTTAAATTCTAGCATGAAATCAGTCACAACCTTGTTTTCGTAGCTCCATTTTTGGAGGAATGCGTAAACTCAACTAAGATTTGGTCATAACTCATAAACCACTGTTATTCTTTATAAAAAAATAATAAAAACAAGATATTACTCGTTCTTTGTGCGGACAATGACGTGAACTAACAACCTGTATAACTTGATGAAACTTTATGAACATTATTCATGAATTCTACAATTTGATTAAGGAAGAAAAAAAAAGGAAAGAGAAAAGACGGCAATGGAGAACAGAATTGCAGAAAAGTCAAAGGAAATCTTCATCAAATTCTCCTCGAGAAACTTCAAAACAAGGTACAGAAGGATCTTGAGACAGTGATGGCCACTGAGCTGCAACTATAGGTTCCAGCTTGCTTTCAGACTTCCAATTCATAGCCTCATTGCTCACAAAGCTGCTCATATCTCCTCTCATGGCGCAATTCCAGTTACTACTGCTGCTCGAGCTGTTTCCGTAGGGATAATTCCCAGAAAAATTCATTATGTTGCTGAATTCGCAGAATGCTGGAGCAGAAATCAATGAGCTATGAAGCTGATCATGTACAATTAGATTGGCCCCCGTTTGATCTGCTGCCCCTTGGAATTCTAAAGGGGGAAACGGGTCGAAAGACGGTTTGATAGTTAAATTTTCATGAACTGAATTAAGAGAATTGAACTTCTCCTGTTCTCCTGCAATCTCTATCAGTAGTTTGTGTGTCGTCGGATCGATTCCCTTTTGTCGAAGTTTCTTCTTCAAGCACGAGTTCCAGAAATTCTTGATCTCGTTGTCTGTCCTCCCTGGTAGCTGAGACGCAATCTGAGACCACCTGAAGTAATTCACCATCAATTTAGAATTTTTAGATGGGATTCCATCATGAAGAAACTATCCATATTTTCCACATAATCGTTTTGATCGGAAATAACAAGCATTGTTCAAAAATGAAATTTTGGCCAGAATACCTATTTCCTAAGACTTCATGGAGGCCAATGATCAGATTCTCCTCCTCTTGTGAGAAGGATCCTCTCTTCAGGTCCGGCCGAAGATAGTTAATCCATCTAAGTCTGCAACTTTTCCCACATCTCTGCAGCCCTGCCCGAGATTTACAGAGAGTAAGTCATGTGAGATGAAAATTAGACTTCTGGAGTTAGAAAGCGAACAAGCCTGATAGCTTAGGCACTGAGCTCCAGCAACCAACACCAAATCTGATGATGTGATTGTAGAGCTTCTCGTCTTCTTCCGGAGACCACAGGCCCTTCCTAAGTTTCTGCTTCAGACAGCACGAATGCCTTCCCATTTCGTCTCCAAATCCTTCTAAATGAGCTGAGGCTGCACAGAGCTGCTGAGAAAGTTAGGGGGTTTAAGAGCGGAAAATAAGCTTAAGTTTCAAGTTATGTTAATCGAGAGAGAGAGAGAGAGAGAGAGAGAGAGAGAGAGAGAGAGAGAGAGAGAGAGAGAGAGAGAGAGAGAGAGAGAGAGAGAGAGAGAGAGAGAGAGAGAGAGAGAGAGAGAGAGAGAGAGAGTGAAAAGAACCGGAAGGGCACAGGAAGGTGAAGCAATCAAGTGGGTTTTAAGCAAGTCTTTGTTGTCCCAGCAATGTAATTGATTGAGATTTAAGGCATCCATAGCTCTAGCAGTGGAATGAAATTAAAGGCATATAAAAAGGATTTTGTAAAGAGATTAGCACTAAGCAATGTTTGGTTAAGGAAAAGACCTCCAGATTTCTACCTTTCCAGTAACTTTTCTATGGTCAGGCCAGTCATCGTCCTCGTCTTCTTTTCTCTTTCATCTAACTACACATGCAGAAAAGAGTACAGCTACACAAATGAGCAGAATACTATATGAGTTGAATATCACCGACAATATGCGATGTGTCGGTATGAATGGATCACTTCTATTCAATCTTACTTTTTTAATTTTATGTTAGTTCTTTTGGCAGCAGCTTTGTAGAGCGATGTAGCAGTTGATGTTAATTAGATACTCTCTGCCACTGTCGGTCTACGGTCAATAATGAGTTTTGGATCATATTTTTTTCATTTATATTATTTGTTTTAAAGTTTAATTACTGTTTTATGAGAAAAAAATATTAATTCTTATTTAGTGTAGATCAATTTTTTGTAGTTATGTCATTGAGAGAAATTTTATAAAGGGGTTCTTTGCAATCTCTTATTGTATTTTTTTTTTTTTGGCAGCTTTAATTTAATCTTTAAGAAGCGTGGGCATTAATACATGTCTTCGGCAATAAAACTGAGATTTATTTTAGTCTGTAAATTCGAGTTTTATAGCAGAGTTTTTAGCCTACATTATAAAATGTAGTCAATTGAGTGTAGATAATTATTTTGTTGTGTTTTGTGTACTTCTCTTCATTTATTTGTTTATTTTTGTCTTATTTATACTCGTTGTTTTGAATTAGGTATTACCTATTTCCCAATATTATTAGAAGGGAGAAAAATTCTAAATTTTTTGTTCTTGATTGATAGTATAACTTATTTTAGTTTGAAATGAGTGCAATATAGAGATAATCAATCCATTTTCAAACTACACAAATTCAAATTGAT